TCTAGCTGCAACATATGTTCACCTAATTTACAATAACTTACAGTAGATGTTGTTATATTTTCATTCCTTGCACTGTAAGGACATTTCATTTCCAATAGTGTTGTCATCAATGATTCATTCAGATGTGGCAGTTCAGTACGGGTATATTATACTAACAAAATCTCCACATTTCTTTGTTTTTATACCAGTGACTTTTTCATATTTTTCTGTTGCCACACATTAATACATAATATAAAGCTGGAGATCTTAACATTATTACATTTGTTAACCTCTTTGCTAGCTTATGTATATCTTTATGTGATTATTTCACCAGTTTCTAATAGTCAATCTGTAGGACCTAGTCTCTAGCCAAAGTTGACAAGTTGCTTCTCCCATATCGGTTCTTGCCTATAGTGTATGATTAGGAGTTTTAAAAATACCATAGTTAAATTACTTAATACATTATTTGACACAGTTTACATTGTCAAAGCTTTCTGATTTATCATGAACTGTCTTGGCTTATAGAAGAATAAAAATCCTACTGCTTTACCAGCTCACTTTTTCGCACACATAATGTTGCTTTTCGGTTTTTTAGTTCTTCTCTCAGCTGAGATAGTGTATACTTCCCACATTTTGCTATTTTCTTGTTGTAAAGCTCCATGAAGATAACATTCATAATACAACTGTAGCTAAGTATAGGTCTCGAGCAACCCACTTGCGAGTTAGAGCAATCTAACATAATAGTTCTAAACTTACCTCTCTATGACTAAGTCAACACTGAGTGTCAGTATTGATCTCCTCAACATTGAGAACATTTGTCTGGTACTAGTGTTTGGATACACAGCTTACAAATCCTTGGAGTCTTTTTCCAACAACTTGCAAACTCTTTCGACCCTCGTGAACAAATGGTTGGATCAGTCTGTTTCCACCCCATCTCTATTTTTACCAGTAACATTGATGAGTGATTGAGACCAATTTAATTAATCCAAATTTGCAGAACCATGATTCTGTGCCACATTTGCTCTCTAGAATGATATAATACCTTCCATTTCATGGAACCTTGCCCCTTCTTTCTTGGTCAGGGCCTATGGAGGTTAATAAGACCTCCCACGGATAAAGTAGAGAAGGGTGATCAAAGTTTCCAACTGCTAAATCTCCCCATTTAGATCTACTCAACAGTTAAATATGGTCATTCTAATACGGCAGAGCTCTAAAGATTTTTATGCTAACTTAGAAGACGTCAAAACCTTGTTTGTTTATCCTATACTGTCAACATGTGGTATTATTTGGAAAGGACCCATAAGGGCTGTATGGTTATTTACCCCTATTTATCTATAAGTTTTAGCAGAGAGGTCATTCTGGGTCTGTATAGGATCAGCACTATTCTAATCTTTCATAAAATAGCTTGGACTACATCAGGGCTATGTTTGTAGTGGCACACTTTTTAGCATTAAGATTAATACCATCACTGAACAGCTTTCTCCCACAGTTGCAGACAGCTTTTATGTCTATATATTTCAGAGTTCCTGTTAGTCATTGAATATAGTTTACATTGTGTGGCAGCTCCAAACTTCCCTCAATGTATTGTGATTGATTTACTGCAAATGGTTTCATATCTTGGTAATCTAAAAGCATTTGCAGGTATTTTTGCCACCAACAGGGAAAGCACTTGCCCTCTAGCTCCATGGTCACCATACGCGACGAACGTGTGGGCCTTTACAGTTTACCTTCTCTGAATTCAAACATAGTCCTGGTCACCATACGCGACGAACGTATGGATGTTTGAATTCATAGAAGGTAAACTGTAAAGGCAGGACTGGTCACCACACGCGACGAACGTGTGCATGTTTGAATTCAGAGAAGGTAAACTGTAAAGGCAGGACTGGTCACCACACGCGACGAACGTGTGCATGTTTGAATTCAGAGAAGGTAAACTGTAAAGGCAGGACTGGTCACCATACGCGACGAACGCGTGGATGTTTGAATTCAGAGAAGGTAAACTGTAAAGGCAGGACTGGTCACCATACGCGACGAACGTGTGGATGTTTGAATTCAGAGAAGGTAAACTGTAAAGGCAGGACTGGTCACCATACGCGACGAACGTGTGGATGTTTGAATTCAGAGAAGGTAAACTGTAAAGGCAGGACTGGTCACCATACGCGAC